AAAAAAAAAAAAAAAGAAAGAAAGAAAGACAGGTAGGACTTGAATAGGCAAAGAAGGGCAGAGGTTGGGGCATTCTAGGCAGGTGAAGAGTATGAGCAAAGCTCTAGAAACACAGAGAGAAGTGTGTGTGTGTGTGTGTGTTTGCAGGGGGAACAGAGGTTTGGTGAAGAGGTTAGTTTTTTAGGGTGGAAGGAAGTAGGGCAGTTATAGTGGGAACCCTAGACTGGAGCCAGGTTGTGAAACATCTTCAATGTGAGTCTAAACCATTGGGTTTTTTATTTGACAGATAGAGAGCCATTAAAGGGTTGATTTCTTTGGAGATTTGTTTTAAATGAAGGAATGTGGTGTGTAAAGAGGTAATTCAGGAATATTGTTTTGGCAACACTGGCTGTGGGAGATTCTAGATGGAGGCTGAGTTAAGAGACTGTAGCAATAGTTTAGTTTTTTGGTTTTTTGTTTGTTTGTTTGTTTGTTTTTTGAGACAGAGTCTCGCTCTGTCACCCAGGCTGGAGTGCAGTGGTGCAATCTCAGCTCACTGCAACCTCCGCCTCCCAGGTTCAAGCGATTCTCCTGCCTCAGCCTCCCAAGTAGCTGGGAATACAGGCATGTGCCACCATGCCCAGCTAATTTTTGTATTTTACTAGAGACGGGGTTTCACCAGATTGGTCAGGATGGTCTTGAACTCCTGACCTTGTGATCTGCTCGCCTCGGCCTTACTAAGTGCTGGGATTACAGGTGTGAGCCACTTCCCCCAGCCCAATAGCCTAGTTTTTAGCCATGGCAATTCTCAGTGTGGGAGGGGCAATAGGAAGGAAGGGATGAAGAGAGGGAAGTCACACGGGAGAACTTGACAGGGCTTGCTGGTCTTATTATATAATTTAGAATTAATTATTTACATAGACAAAGAAATGACAATTGCTCAAAGCAGAGTCACAGTATAAACAGATGTTATGTGAGAATATTTTAGAGCTTCTCATATGGATCCAATTCAGGCAGGCAGTAAACCATGCCAAAATATGCAGGCATTGGATGCTGTAATTGTATAGAACTACTACAAGATGCAAACTTGAACACTATAGACTCATTTTAACTTGTGAACCAAGTTTGAACTGTCTGGAGGGAGAAAGCATATATGCTATGTTGTCTCCTTTAAGACTGGTAATAAAGGGAAAATAGAAAAATGGAATTAAAAAAATTCTATCCTCTTTTTTAGACATATCCAAAGATTTAGGTTAAATAACAAAATTTAGAAAAACCAAAAGTGGTATTTGAATGGCTTTTGCACATCTTAATAACTTTCTGAAATCAAATTGGTATAAGAATAGTTGTATCTGGAAAGGGTTAGGAGGAAAAAAGGCTATTGTTCATCTTTTAGATTTAAGCACATTTTAAAGTGAGAGCTTAAATAAAAACAAAGAACTATAAAGTGAGTGAGAGCTCAAGTTTAAAAAATGAGAGCTCCTATACAAAATAGAGGGGTTTGGTCTTATATCAGGGATGGGATGCAAAACTAAATACACTGTCTATGGTGCATTCATTAGAGAACCAAAAGACATGTACCACTTATATTTATGCTTTGGAGATTGCTAGCTGTTGTTCACTTATACCCACTTGTTTCATTTTTGCTAGTGACTTCTGAAACTACTTAAATTCAGCCTTAGGCTTCTGAGGTTTGTGGGATAGTGAAAGCTGAAGAAAGTGAGAGGGAAATCTGACCAAATCTCCCAGGCACAATTTCCCAGGCAGAAGCTAGAATTAAAATATACGTTCTTATTCCTGTTCTTAGGTAGTTATTCTTCCTGTTATACTCTACTTTTATGCAGAAAAGTAAAAAAGCAAAAGAAATTGCTCAGCTATCAAACCAGTGCGTGTAGCACTGAAAAAGAGAAATATTATGTCCTATCAATTTTTCCATCTCCCACTTAACACACATACATTTTTCCTTTACTTTTGTCAGTCTCTTCTACCTCTTTAAAAATTTATTTTCCTTAACCTCCTCCTCAATCAACCAGTCATTCGCCTTTGTGAGATTATATGATATTGTGGACAGTATATGTACAAGCATACCACAGAGATACTGTAGATTCAGTTCCAGGCCACTGCAGTAAAGCGAATATTGTAATAAAGCAAGTCATGCGAAGTTTTTGGTTTCCCAGTGCACATAAAAGTTGAGTTTATGCTGTAGTCTGTTAAGTGTGCAATACCATTATGTCTGAAAAAAAAAAAAAAAACCCTACATACCTTAATTTAAAACTGCTTTATTGCCAAAAAAAAAAAAAAAAAAAAGTTAATGACCATCTGAGCCTTCAGTGAGTTATCATCCTTTTGCTGGTAGAACGTCTCGTCTCGGTGTTGATGGCTGCTGACTGATCAGTGTGGTGGTTACTAAAGGCTGGAGTAGCTGTGGCAATTCCTTAAAATAAGAACAGTGAAGTTTACCGCATAGATTGACTCCTCCTTTCATGCCAGATTTCTCTGTAGCATGCAATGGTGTTTGATAGCTCTTTAGCCACAGTAGAACTCCTTTCAAAATTGGAGTCAGTCTTCTCCAACCCTGCTGCTACTTTATCAGTCAAGTTTATGTAATGTTCTAAATCTTTGTCATTTCAACAATGTTTACAACATCTTCACAAGGAACAAAGTCCATCTCAAGGAACCACTTTCTTTATTCACGCATAAGAGGCAACTTCTCATATCTTCAAGTTTTATCATGAGATTGTGGCAATTCAGCCACATCTTCAGGCTCCCTTCTAATTATAGTTCTCTTTCTATTTCTGCCACATGTGCAGTGACTGTCTCCACTGAAATCTCAAACCCCTTAAAGTCATCCATGAAAGTTGGAATCAGCTTCTTCCAAACTCCTATTAATGTTGATGTTCTGACCTCCTCCCATGAATCAGGAATGTTCTCAATGGTGAACATTAGAATGGTGAATCCGTTCCAGAAGATTTTCAATTTGCTTTGCCCAGAACCATCAGAGGAATCACTGTGTATGGCAGCTATATACCCTTATGAAATGTATTTCTCAAATAATAAAACTTGAAAGTCTAAAGTACTCCTTGTTCCATGGGCTGCAGAGTGGTTGTTGTGTTAGCAAGCATGAAAACATTAGTCTCCTTGTACATCTTCATCAGAGCTCTTGTGTGACCAGGTGCTATGTCAATGATCAGTGATCAGTAATATTTTGAAAGGAATCTTTTTTTTTTTTTTTTTTTTTAGCAGTAAGTCTACACAATGGGCTTAAAATATTCAGTAAACCATGCTGTAAACAGAAGTATTGTCATCTGGGCTTCATTGTTCCGCTTATAGTCCTCAGGCCAAGTAGGTTTAGCCTAATTCTTTAGGGCTGTGGGATTTTCAGATGAGTGAGCATTGGCTTCAGCCTAAAGTCGCCAGGTGTATTAGCCCCTAATAGGAGAGTCAGCCTGTCCTTTGAAGTAAAGAATTGACTTCTCTCTAGCTATGAAAGTTCTGGATGACATCTTCTTCCAAAAGAAGGTTGTTTTGTCTTCCTAGAAAATCTGTTTAGTGTAGACACCTTCATCAGTGGTCTTAGCCAGATCTCCTGGATAACTTGCTGCAGTTTCTCCATCAGTACTTGCTGTTTCATTGTGTGCTTTTATGTTATGGGGATGGCTTCTTTCCTTAAACCTCATGAACCATCCCTACTAGATTCAAACTTTCTTCTGCAGCTTCTCCACCTTTCTCAGCCTTCATAGAATTGAAGAGAATTAGGGCCTAGTTCTGAATTAGGTTTTGACTGAAGAGAATGTTATGACTGGTTTGAACTATCTAGACCACTCAGACTTTCTCCATATCAACAATAAGGCCATTTCACTTTCTTATCACTTGTGTATTCCCTGGAGTAGCACTTTTAATTTCCTTCAAGAACTTTTTCTTTGCATTCATAACTTGGTTAACAGTTTGGTGCAGGAGGCCTAGCTTTCGGCCTATCTCAGCTTTCGACATGCCTTTCTCACTAAACTTAATAATTTCTAGCTTTCTTTTCATTTTAATTGATACTGTAGTTATACATATTTATGGAGTACAATTTTCTGTTACAGGACAGGTATATGTTGTATTATGATCAAATCAGGGTATTTAGCATGAGATCACCTTGTACATTTATCATTTCTTTTGGTGAGGACATTCAAAAGCCTGTCTTCTAGTTCTTTTGTGATCCGCAGTCCCTAATCCTTTCTAGCTTTTGATTTAAAGTGAGGGATGTGTGACTCTTCTTTTACTTGAACACTGAGAGGCACTGTAGGGTTATTAATTGTCTAATTTCAATATTATTCTGTCTCAGGGAAGCAGGAGGCCTGAGATGAGGGAGAAGATAGGAGAGCAGCTGGTCAGTGGAGCAGTCAGAACACACACAGCATTTATCAATTGAGTTCACTGTCCTGTATGTGTGCAGTTTGTGGTGCCCCCAAACAATTGCAATAGTAGCATCAAAGATCACTGCTTGCAGATCACCATAACAAACGTAATAATAATGAAAAAGTTTGAAATATTGTGAGAGTTACCAAAATGTGACAGAGACGTGAAGTAAACATACAGTGTTGGGGAAATGGCTGATCTTGTTTTACTTGTATTTCCCTACGCCACCTCATATTGCTTTATTATTTATTTATTTATTTGTATATTTATTTTTGCAACAGGGTCTCACTCTGTCATTCAGGCTGGAGTGCAGTGGTGCGCTTTCTGCTCACTACAGCCTTCATCTCCCGGGTTCAAGTAATCCTGCTGCCTCAGCCACCTGAGAAGCTGGGACTATAGGCATGCACCACCACGCCCAGCTAATTTTTGTATTTTTTGCAGAGACAAAGTTTCATTATGTTACTGAGGCTGGTCTCTAACTCCTGGGCTCAAACGATCTGCCCCCCTTGAACTTACGAAGTGTTGGGATTATAGGCATGAGCCACCATGCCTGGCTTCATATCATTTTAAAGAAAATCCCATACATCAAATAATTTCATTTAAAAAATTTTGAGTATATTTTTCTAAGAAATAGGCAATTCTTAAAAACTGTAATACCATTGCACTTAAAACATCAGTAATAATTTGTAAGAAACTTTTAATTGAGTTTCTGATTTTAATTAAATAAATTTATATCCTTTACTAGAACAGAATGTAATAGAGGCCCAAAATTTAGCAGCATCTAAATCTAGTGAAACATTACAAAGAGTCGTAAATAGAGACAACATATTTGATAGATTTTGTCTTGTTAAAAATATTTGTTGAAGAAAAGTACCCTAAATGGAAGCCAAAAGATACTAAGTAAATATTTTTAAGTTTTAATATTAACAAGGCTAGAATTAAGAATATGTTCTATTTAGCAGAAGTTGCCCTGAGCTTACCAGCTACATCAGTATACTTAGAAATAATATTTTCAATTAAAATGATTATGTCCCCTAGAAAAGAGTCAATAAAACTTTCAACAATTTAAAATGTATAAACAATGAATCTGACAATTAACAATAAAGAACAACTTTGAAGTAGCAGGTAATCTTAGGAAAAAATAAAAAACACTAAGATCAGATTGAAAAAAATATATTCATTAGTAAAATTTCAGTGACATGGTATTAGCATCAAATATGACTAAAATACTGATTAAAACACATGAATGTCTACTCAGAATAATTAATTTTAATTCTGTAATAGATTATGGAAATATACAAAATTATAATTGTACAGCTTGATTAATGCTCCTTTATTATTTTTTAATGTTCACATAATCAGGATTAAAGTTTTTTACTTTAATATAGTTTTATTTTTCAATAAATTTTATTTTTGAAAATAATTTTTGAATAGAATCATTTTATAAGTGTCCTGATGGAGTAAAACCAATTTATTGATCAACAGTTTGTTGGTTGATAAATATTTTTTAAAACCATATAATTTAAATTATTTTCTTTAGTTCTCTGGTTCACTTTCAGAAGTGATGCAGTTTGGATGTTATATTATGTGGTTGCCTAACTAAGCATTATCAAGTACTTGTATATCAGATATGGATGTGGTCATGAATTGTGCTATGTCAACCTATCAACAGAGAACAGAGAGTTTCTGTCAGGAAATGATAATGGACAGAAGTAGTTTCCAAAGGGCCTTAAATGCCCTGTATCAGGATTATCTAACCCTGTGGATGTGGGAGCCTTTGTGGTTTTGAATTAAAAAGTGATATGACAAAAGTGGTATTATGGGAAGTTTAAATAAGGAATGAATATCATGGGTGTGTTATCAGTGGCTTGAGTGGTGAGCATGGAAAAGATGGAACGACTGAAGCCTCATTACAGAGGAAATTTTCTGGGACTTGCACATTGGGCTGGCAGTATTGAGGGAGATGTTGGAATCAGAGAGGAGGCCAGTTTTCTCAATTGTCTGATTAAAAAGGAAAAATATCTCTATTGATAGTTATAGGGAATTTAGGAGGAAGGGAAAGTATCTTTTGCCAGCAAGGTGATGTGGTTTTGGATGTTGAATATGAGGAGATGGTGCTGTGTTGTAGCAGAAATGGTTGCTAGTCTGTTGGAGATAGAAGCCCTAGTGAAGCCCAACAGTGAGGCCTGACCGTGCAGATGGGGCTTTTCTGTGGAAGTTAGTTGAAGCCATGAAAGTGAGTTCTTCACAGAAAACTGTGGTGGAAGAGAATAACAGGCAATGTCCTGAGCTTTGGGCATCTCCTGCAGTTGGAAGAAGATAGGAGAAATGGCACCGGTAAAATAGGTCTCAGAGTACATCAGAGTCTTGGTCAGAGGGATAGAAGGAAACCCCAGCAAGGGGTTCATGGCACCTAAAACAAGAGCAAATGTCAGTGAGTTATGTCACATGTAATGATGAAGTCCAGAGGGCTACGAAGAGGTCATTGGATTTGGAGCCCACTAATGATGTTCAAAAACAGATTCAGGAGATTAAAGGGTGAGTGATAGATGAAGAAATGGAGATATAATCTGTAGACTGTTCATTTTAGGAGCACATCAGAGAGATGAGAGACAAATGTAGAGTTTTGTACTCAAAGAGACAGAAAAGTCAGGTAAAACATTTCAAGATACTGGAGTCCTTTACATGGAGGAAGGCAGAAATGAAAGATTCCAGTGGATAAAGGAGAAATGGAATGTTGTAAGGAGAGAGGGGAGATAAATAGGGAATATCATTCTAGGGGAGAGTGGAATGAGGAGAAGACATGAAGGTATTAGCTTTGGAAATAAGGAATA